GATGGGCTGCAAGTTGTGTTCGGAACTATGTTGGTGTGGAGCGAGGTAAGCCCGCGGACTCGGTCAGCTTCGCGCTGTTGCTGTCTTCATGAGTGGATTTGACAAGCTGTCAATAGTGTATTGACACGAGGTGCCCTATGGCAAAATCCCCTTTTAACGCACTGCACTGTTCGCCTGTGGCAGGAGCCTCTCCCGTGGGTGGGTACGGAACACCCCCTGCCCTGCAGCCCTGGGGTTTAAAACCTGCCATCGAGGTCCCCCGTCCACTGGAACAATTAGTGCTAGAATTACTAGAAGCAGGTTTAAGGAGACATATGGTGGCAATTTTCATATGAATGATGCCCTGTGGCCTTTCCTGCAAACTAAAACCTGGGATCATTTGCAGATATTTTTCTTAAAAAACACTGTAGGTCCCGAGACTCTGGGTGACAGCTAGGAGGGGGCATTCCAAGACGATGGTCCAATTTGTGCTCATTTTGGTAATTATATCCAACTGGCAAGTGTCCGCCTCTCACGGCCAGCGCCGCTGAGTGCCTGTTCACTGTGTGGTTTTTGTAGCTGATAACTCCCCATGCCATCCGAGTCCAGACCCCGCCGAGGCACATTCCTGGCGTCGTTGAAGTGACCCTCTCCTACAAATCCAAGCAGTTCTGCAAAGGTGCTCCTGGGCGCTTTGTCTACACCGGTGAGTTCATAGCTCCAGCTTCTGTGGGAAAGTGGTAGAGGCCTCCTCCCCACCAGGAGGTGCTCGTGAGGGCATGGGAGGACTGTACAGAGAGGGTAGGGGTCTGTGGGAAGATGGGCGAAGCTCCCTTGGCCTGTGGGTTGGGTTTAGCTGGGTGTGTGGTTTCCACATCTTTGAGATGGCGTATGACGCCATGGATGGGACAGTCCCCGTGGCTGTGTGAGCTTCGGTACCTCTCTCTGTTTGTGAGACTCCTCACCTGTAAACAAAGTGGCGGGGGAGTCGTTAGGAACAACAGTCACCCAGCTACCACCGGGGCAGCTGCCCATGTGCCTGGCTCCATGTGGGGCTCGGGGCCGCGTGTCCACTGGTCTCCAGGCCTCTGCCCCGTGGTGTCACTGCTGTTCTGCTGCACAGGCTGAGGCTCAGGGAGGTGAGGAAGTCAGTGCCCAGGCCACACCCCCAGTAAATGCAAGGCCCATGTAAGCCTGCTCTTTCTTGCTCCAGCCTGGGGTCTTGAACCCTACATGACGCTGCTTCCTAAAGCAGATCCGTGTTCTCTGAGGGTGCGGGACAGACCCCTGGCCGCAGGAAGTGTGGCCTATGCAGTTACTCATGCTTGCTATCTTACAGTTGTTCTATACAATGCTTTGTCCATGCAAGGGCTGAATTAGCACCACTTGTTCAGGATTGCTATTGAGAAATGCTGTAAATAAACTTCAGATTGGCTGGGCATGTTGGCTCACAGCTGTGATCCCAGCACTTTGAGAGGCGGGAGAATCACTTGAGTCCAGGAGTTCAAGACCAGCCTGGGCAACACGGCAAAACCCTGTCTCTATAAAAATTTAAAAATTAGTGGGGCATGGTGGTGTATGCCTGTGGTCCTAGCTACTCAGGATGGTGAGGTGGGAGGATCACCTGAACCCGGGAAGTCAAGGCTGCAGTGAACCTTGATTGCGCCACTGGACTCCAGCCTGGGTGACAGAGCAAGACCCTGTTTCAAAACAAACAACTCACTTCAACTTAAGGCGTGTTTGCATTTTGATTTCTAATCTTAGCCAACTCCAAAGGCTGTGATATTTGAGAGATGTTTTTAATGATGGACAGTGCCTGCTGGAACCTGATGACAGTGAACGAGATGAATACTTACTATCTGTGGCCTTGACCGGCTTGTGCAGTGGCTGGGTGACTGTGGCCTGGTGTCCTGGGGTGGCCGTGAGGGCCACAGCAGGAACCTGGACTAGGGGATGGGGCTTCAACTCCTGCCATCACCACCTGAAAGATGCCCACTGGGGGACAATCCTCTTCCTCTGTCCGGAGAGTGGGTGACATGGAGGATGCTAAGCCCCCTCTGCTTTCGGAAGGTTTAAAGAGGCAATAGACATCCCTCAGCCTCTTCCCTTCTTAGGAAGGACTGAGTGAGCAAGAAGGGCAAGATATACATCCTGCCGCTGCCCACTGTACATCAGGCCCAGCGTCGCCCCAGGGTGTGCCTGGATGGGTCTTGGTGGCGGGCCAGGGCTGCTGTCCCAGAGGCGTCCAGTCGACAGCTCGGCACTCTCCATGGGGTTAGGGTGGGAGAGGCAGTGCTTGCCCCACACTAGAGGCCGCCTTCTGTGGGACCAGCACACGCAGGACCAGGCGCCCAGGAGCTGCCGGAAGACCACAGGGGAGGTGGGCACAGCAAAGAGCTGATGTCCGGACACCTCTTGGCCTGCATGTAAGACTCTGAGATGGAGAGAGGGCCGCTCCTCCAGGTTTTGGAATCCCAGTGTTTTAAAAAATAAAGACATGTCACAACGGGGTTCTAAAAATTAGGGCGCCTTTTAAACACTTATATACACTTCAACAAATAAGAACTTTTGCTGTGCAATAAAGTGCAGCGTCTGTAGGCTCCAGGTACCTGGGAGAGGCGAGACATCAGAATCCCGCCGTGGGCCGGGGGGTTCCTTTCTGGCACCTTGCCGTAGGGCTGTTTTCATGTGTGCGCTGAAGTCACACAGTGCACATTTCCACACGCTTCCTCATGCAAACTGTTGGTATGTGTACCACATGCTCCTGAGTCCCTTGGCTCATCTGGCTGTAGAGGCTGCAGGCCCTGTGCAGAGACCTGGTGTTTGCAGACAGACTGGGACCTGGGCATATGCTTACTCCTGTGGTCTCAATTTCTCCTCTGCTCTACCTGGCAAGGTTTCGGTAAGGATCAGGGATGACTTATGTATAGTGTCTAACACATGGCATAAATGGTCCTTCCTGTGGAAAGTCACTGAGGGTGAACTTCTGCTGGGTTCTGTGGGATCCTGCTCGAGTCCTGAGCTCCTTAGGAAAACGGGTATTGATTATTGCTTGTGAGCCATGGAGCAGCACCTGAGCTTCAGCGGGCACATGCCAGGGGTGGGCTCCCGTGTAGGTACCTGTGTCTGCTGCGGGGTCCTGGTTTGTGACACGAAAGTGACGTGTGTTTGCATGTGGCAAGACTGACTGCCTCCGCACAGAAGTGAATGAATAAGCCCCCTGTTCTCACACTGGACTGTCAGCCCATCCCGGATGAACGCTTTAGTGGATGCCTTCAGCGGATCCTTTCACGAGTTCAGATCTTTGCATACGTGGGCTTTTTGGTGGGGAAGTCTGCACAGCTATTGTTAGAAAGAAGATTGCGGAAAGGTCCAGTCCTTTCTTTGCACTTCGCCTGCTGTCTCCTGGGGATTCTGTCCCCAGTGCTGTAGAGAAAGGCCTTGGGCTGTGCATTTGTAGACAGACGCGGATGTGTAGGGTGGGAGGAGCTGCCTGTCACTGGTTGGCAGGTATCACATGGTGTGGCAGAGCCTGCAATGTCAGCGTTCCCTCAATTCCCAGCATGGCCGGGCCCAGCTCTTGCTGCTCTGGGGCTGGTGCGGGGAGGGGGCAGCTCTCTGCTGTCTGCAGCCTGTTCCTCTTGCCCTCCAGCCAGGTAGGATGCCTTCCTTGGCCAGGGATATCCTCTCCAGGTCTCATATCCTCCTGCTAAGGGACCAGTGGACACCTTAGTTCCAGCCCCGACCCAGCCTGTCCAAGTGCCTACCTTCTATATCTACAGGCCATATTGTGCCCCCTCTGGGGCTGACTGGGCTTCTCGGGCACAAGCTCAGGGTCCTGGCTGCCCGAAGCTTCAGGGATTTCCTCCATCAAGACATGCTCCCATGAGTGGGTGTTTGGTGACGCTCTGCCACAGCCCAGCCTTTCTTGGCTGGAGGTTAACCTATTGGCTCCCCTACACCCCAGTCATTAACAGGAATATCCATTTCAAAGGTGATGTAAGGGATACAGGCTCTACAGGCTGGGGAGCAGAGGAAAGGTAGGGTCATGACCTGTCTGACCTGGAAGCTTCTGTCTGATTTGCATTGCCCCGAAATTGATGGGGACAATGAGGTAATCACCGGGAATTGCACTCCCCCGCTGAAAACTGAGCCAGCCCCTTTGCATGTCACGACATAGGCACCGTCCCCTGGGCGTCTGGTTCCCATCAGTGTCCCCCAGCCCCGGAGGCTGCCGGGACACCCTCACATTTAACCTTCCCCGCGTGAGGCCGGCTGGGGCCGCCAGGCGGAGGACTAATGAACCTGTACTCAGGGGAGGGGCTGCCCGCCAGAGGCTGGGAGGGACTTTGCAAAAGGCCTCAATGATCTGTTTACAGTGATCTGAGAAACACCAGATTTTTCTGAACCAGACCCTATTAGTCAACCCCGAGTGGGAAGGGGAAGGCAGGCCAGGCCCCATCCATCCAGGCCCTTTTGCCTGCTGCTTTCAACTCCTATAAAGACACAATTACCTTGGGAGGCTGTGGCGGTTCAGTTGATTAGCACGGTGAATTAAAAGAATGAGTCACAAATGACATGTCCAGCGCTTCCATACTGGTTCTTTGTATTCCCATGTGCCTCACCCTGTTGTAAGAAGGTCAAAAATTAGAGAGAGAGAACAATTTTCAAGCGGCTAGCACTTAGGAGCAGAATTAACAATCACTCTGTATGTAATTGCCAGTTAATAGTAAATTGCCTTCTAGACTGTAAAATGCAATATAAACTGGTGGGCACCTAAAATTAAATTAATGAGATATTTGCTGCATTTAAAAGTGAATACTGCAAATTAATAACTGAGTGCAATGCTTGTTTTAATATTTGTCTAATAGTGTACCATTTGCTTGTTTAATAATAACTAAAATAGTCCCAGAATGTCCTACCTGAGAAACTCGCAGTATACACAAATTGAGCAGTTTCGCATTTATAATTCCACCCATAGAAACGCATCAAATGGTTAAGAGTAATAAAAGAAATTATTTTTTAATTAGAATATAAGCATTACAGTGTTATTTGATTAAGACAGATTGGAATTTGTATGCATCTAATTGAAATTATGTTACTGAGGAAACTACTTTCATAGACACGTTTTCAAGTGTGAAGCATCATGGCACAAATGCGTGTGTTACTGTTTTCTAACAATGTCCATTTGGCAGAATGGTTTCCTATTAAACAAAAGCACTGAGGCCGGTTGGGAGTGGTGGCTTGACTTCCAGCATCATTCACGGGACACTGGGGAGGTGGCTGGGTCGGTGTTTCTTACTCTTGGTTTCTTGCACCCGGATGGTTGATTGACCCACCCTCATTTTAGAGATTTCTTTTGCTCAATTAAAGAAATTATCACAAATTACTGGGAGCCAACATGTTGTTTGCGACAGACTGAACCCAGTCACTAAACAGGATATTGGCAGTCGATAGCAACCACATCCAAAGTGGACACAGGGAGCTCTTGACGGCGGAATACCTGGACTGCTCCCAGCCCCGGGATGCAGTTACTAGATGGGAACATAAAAGTGATTATTTTCTGCACAAGGACATTCATTCAGCTTCAGGCTTATGAAATCGTTACTCAACCAGTAATTGCTAACAGTTTCTGTTCTTTCTGATACAGTATTTATGGTTTACTTTTCTTCTTTTTTTAAAGTCATATGTACCTTAAAACTGGCC